TTTCTTCCAACGAAGATAGCCATATTGCTTTGGGTGCCCAAGAATCTGCAACAGAGAGGAAAGACTTCTCTTTGAGGAAGAGCTCTGTTCATCCTCAGGGAAAAAGACGGAGGCTTGACATCCGTTTGAAAAGGTCCAGCTTCGATCCGGAGGAGTTTGCATTGTATAGACGATATCAGATAAATGTGCATAATGATACCCTAGATCTTGTCTCTGAAAGCTCATATAGAAGGTTTCTGGTCGATACTCCCTTGGTACCTGTCCAACCAACTGGTGATAGCAGAGTCCCCCCTTGCGGTTTTGGTTCCTTTCATCAGCAATATGTAATTGATGGCCGGCTAGTTGCTGTTGGGGTGATAGATATCCTTCCTAAATGTTTGTCAAGTAAATATTTGTTTTGGGATCCAGATTTTGCCTTTCTTTCACTAGGCAAGTATTCAGCCTTGCAAGAAATAGGTTGGGTGAAAGAGAATGAAGTGCACTGTCCCAGTCTTCAGTATTATTATCTTGGCTATTATATTCATTCCTGCAGTAAGATGAGATATAAAGCAGCATATTGCCCATCTGAGCTTCTCTGTCCCCTTCGTTACCAGTAAGTCTCTCCCCTGAATCTGAAAACTACTTTCACTGTTTTTTGGACTTGGATTCCAGGTATGTCCAAGTAACTCCCCAGTGCAGATCTCCCCAATACATCTATGGGTGTTCAACTCATATACTACGCTTGAACTGCAAGTTTCCATTTCATTTATTAGGCTAGACTTTTGGTTTCCTGCATTTCTATCCTTTAAATATATATTTGTCTTACATTATAGAACTGGATTGTTAGTCTGCCGGTTATTCTTGGTCTGATGAGCTGATATCTTATATCCAGGTGGGTTCCATTTGATATAGCCCGACCTTTGCTAGATAGAAAGCCATATGTTGTCTTGTCAGATTTTGTGCTATTACAAAATGGAGAGTCATCACAACCTCTTGTCCCTGAGAATGTGATGGAAGTACAGGGTGATGAGAACCACAATGAAGACTCTAATGATGTTCTGATAGATGGTGGTGGTGATGATGATGAGGATGATGATGATGAATTTGAAAGCTCTGATGATGATTCAGGTCCAGATAGCATTGGTCAGACATCAGTTGAAGTAGAAAATGGTAATGTCAGTGACATTTTAATTGGGTTAAAAGGATCTAGATTGAGATACAAGGTATGTGATTTAATTCTCTGTATGATTTAAGATCTGGAACATAACTCTAAAATTTGGGAATGGTTTTTTGGTGTAATCTTTATATGCTAGCTCATTTTTTATTCGAAGCTTTATCCCTGTCACTGTTATGCAGAGATAAAATTAGCATGACCTGACATTTTCTTTTTATTTTTAAATCTCAGTACCATTTCCAATTTTCCTCTTGTGTGGGTGCGACTCAAATGCTATTTCATCAAATTGTCAATGTGATAGACTATAAGATGCCTTTGTTAACACATTTGCTCTTCAGAAGATATGTGTTTTATTAAACAAGTAATTGATGCATCAGTTGTCTGAAACAATATTGCTATTTCATTCGTAAAGATAATTTTGAATCAATGCTATTTAAGACACTTCTTGGGTCTTTTGATTGTAGCTGCAAATGATATAGATAACTAAAACAGAATGCAGTCGAGGAGAGGGCATAGGCAAGTTTATTCACTTTTTTATTAGATGATGGTGTTCTTTCCTTGGTTTCAGTTATGCCAATTTAGAATGGAAAGCTTTCACAATTAAGTCATAACTCTGAGCTGTATTTAGTTGTGGAGTAGATGATTAGGAATCTTACATCAACCTGACAGAAGATAACAGAATAAATGTTGCTATGTCCTGCAATTAGGGTGATGCTTTAAAAATTAACCTGAATGAGAGGGGGGTATGTTGATTAATTTGAACAAGCAGTTTGGGATATTATTCTTTAAAATTGGTGTTTCATTTTAAGCCATTTTCATGTGATAATTCTTGCAGGATCTACAACGAGCTATTGGCCCTGGAGAGAGATTGGAATCCCAGTTGCGTAGATATAAGAGAGTTGTGGGTGAAAAGTTATCAGAACGAATGGTCTATTCACTTGGATGATTCTGTTCTTCCACTAGGGATTTGTTGCATCTCATCACAATGAGAGATGGATATCTTACTGCAAGAGCTGGGTTCAGCATGATGACCACCTCCCCACCCAGATCATTATTCTGTGGTTTAAATTACTGTATTGTGTTCTCCAGCAGTATAGTCCTTGTGGTGAATGAAAGGTTTGTGATATTTATTTGCCTTAAATAATGAGAAACGCTGCCATAAATGGAGGGTTTTGTTTTTTCAAGACTCTCTCTCTCTCTCTCTCAATTCAGTTCTTTCCCTCTGCACTGCCCCACTTTGCTTCTCAATTCAGTTCTTTCCTTCTGCACCGCCCCACTTTGCTCTGCCAATGTCAGGAGATGAACCCCTTCGAGTTCTCTTCCGAGGGGGGTTATCATCATGCATTTTGTCGAACTATAAAAAGAAACAGCACTCAATCCCACATGAAATAAGGCGGCACGGGTTTCTTTGTTTTTTTTTTTTTGACAAGGAAATTAGTCGGATTTTAATTCTACAATCTTCTACATATTGTTAGGTATTAACAAAAGCTAATTGTGCACTGGAAAACGATGTGTTCATAGATCTATCTGTACTGTTTACTGAAACAATATAATGACGTCATTGTCTTTCCCAAAAACTCATATGCTTGTTATGGATATTTATGTTTTTTTTATAGGAATTTGTAGTCATTAAAAAATTAACAGAGGTATGTATGGTTTTTTATCTCTCTAATTTTAAAATTTTAAAATTGATAAGTAGATATTTATATCTTTTCATATATTTCTTAAATGATAATTTTACTTTTTAAATAAAAAAAATTAAAACATGTGATTATGGGTTTTGTAATCTTTTCACATTGATTTTTTATAGTTATCAGTGCATTTCATTTTTATTTTTATTTTTGCATATTTTAATGAGAAACGAGTAGGAGCTTGTAATGCACTTGAATATGTGTAGGAGGGCCATATGTATTTTAAGTGGTGTATGCAATGCTTTACATCAATCAAAAATATTTTTTTATTGTGTTGTATAAAGCATTGTCATATTTTCTTTTTGATGTTGTGATGCCTGTCAGGATTAATAAGGTGGTTTGTTATTAATGGATTTTTTTTTTGGAAAATATAATTTAATTTTATTTATTGTTGATATTTTAATTTTAATTTTTTTCTTGGTTTTTTGTAATTTTTTATTTTTAATTTCATTCTTCAATTTCAATTTGTTATATATTATATATATTTTTTAATTCGGTTTTTATTTTTTGGATTTAATTTTTTGAGTTCTTTTGTTGAATTGATTTTTTTTTTAATTTTACCTTTTGATAAAAATTTGTTTGTATTTTTTATTTCAATTTTAATCCTTTTTTTTCTTATATTGTTTTATTTGTTTTATTGCTAAATTGATTTTTTTTTTCAACCTTGCCCTTTAATTAAAGGTCAAATTTATTTTGTATTTTAATTTTGATTCTTATTCTTTTAATTCTTATTTTTGTTTTAAATCCATTTGTATAATTAAAATTATTTTTTTTAATTTTATTTTTTTACATTTAATTATTAGAAATTGAGTTTGGTAGTTTTTCCAAATAGAATGCTTCCGGTCAAATGACCTGAGTCATGAATTGAAAAAATTAATACAGATTGATATTTTTTTATAAATAAATTAACTTTGTGATTTTTAATATTTTTTTATATGAAATTATCTCAATCTCATGACTTTGATCATGAATTTGATGGGAAAAATTAAGTTGGCTTGACTCTAATTATCATAGTTACAAGTTTGTTATGCTAACTTGAGTTTACTTGAACTTATTTTTAAGTTATTTTTTATCTATTTTTTCCCTTTCATGTTAAATGGACTAGAAATTGAGCTACATTATTTATTTTATTTTGAAAAATATTTTTTTTCTAAGTTATTATGATTATTTTTTAAAAATGTAATTCATATGTCGTCATTGTTATTTTTTATAGTCTAATTAAAATAAAATTAACTTATTTGAACCCGTGTCACAATTTTTTTCCTTCTTTAAAACATGTTTATAACAACTGAATATTATTTGTTATAAAAAAAATACGGTTTGTAGCATATCGTAGGTTTACCAGTCATAACTAACCACATTATCAAGTTACATTGTGAATTTTGTTTCCTTGTATTCAGTTATCTCGATTCTATAAATTAGATTGCGAGTTTGTATAATTTTTATCATTATAACTTAGGTTGAATCAAATTAATATTTGTATGTTTTTTTTACTCATTTCATCCTTTAATATTTATAGTCCATTTATAGTCCATTTAGGAACACGATATAAACCGCGTTCCATTAAATTTTGAAATTTTTTTTGTTATTTTTTAATATTTTTAGATTGTTTTGATGTGTTGATATTAAAAATAATTATTTAAAAAAAAATATCATTTTAATATATTTTTAAATAAAAAAACTTTTGAACCATAATTACTATTAAAATCCCAAACAAGGGTTAAAAATGAAGTTACTGCTGTCATTATTTTTTCTAGTATAATTAAAATAAAACAATTTAATTTAATTTAATCAACTTTATAATTTTAATTTTATATATAATTACTATTTGTTTTCACCTTTCAAAAATATTTTTATTTTTTATTTACTTTAAATTTAAATCATTTTAATATACTAATATAAAAAATAATTTAAAAATAAAAAAATATTATTTTAATATATTTTTAAAAACAACCACACTAACCTTAAAAAAAAATTATCACCTCCACTCGAGACCCACGGGATCCCCTAGGCATATCAAACCACGTAAGTTGCAATGTGCTACAGACAGCTGCGAGACATTCAATTGCTTTTTTAACCTGACCCAGTCGATTAATTCATTCTCACGGATAATGTACTTGGCCAAAAAACACGGAAAAAAAGAAGAAAAGCAAAGGAAAGAAGAAGACAATCATCTTGCTTATGCAATGAACAATCACAGGGTTGATTTACACCAGCAAATCACCCTTGTAATTGCAATAAGGGATTCAACAACTGTCGTGCACATTAACTGGCATATGAAACTGGGAATGGATTCATCAGATTCAACATTCCAAGTTTGGAATCAATTATTGAAAGCTAGTTGAAAGAGCTGTCCAAATGATGGTTTCAGTTTTTCATAGCTAAACCAGGAATATCAGAAGAGAGAAACATGTACAACTCGAAACGACAAGATGGATAATCAAACATCATCTGCATCGCTTCCACCAATGTGGTGGTGTTCATGATTCACCCAATAATGGCTTCCGTCAGGACCAGACACCTTAAACCTGCTCAACAACAAGTCAACGAAACCTTAATTTACAGGATCATTTCAATCCAGAATCATAACTTTCTCCAACTATAGTTTTCTACTAACCGCTCAATGACAGATTTTCCTTCCTTGTACTTCTGGCTCTTTTCGTGTGCAGTCTCCTGAAAGAAAAATAGTCACAACAAGAAACATTCAAAAACGTTGGATTCTTTTCAAATCTCTGCCGTCTAATCTTACATATTTCCAGCCCACAATTGATCCACACCCAACACAGAAAATGTCAGCAACAGTATGCAGCCCGGTAATCATGATTCTCTCTTCCTTCTCTCCCGCAAAGACGTTCACTCTGCCATACAAAGTAAGATGATTTAAATCTGAAAGGAAAAAAAATGTGAAGATATAATGTCTTCTAACTCATTGTAGCAAGAAACAATCATTTTGAGGATGCTCTGAAGATCATCCATGATCAATCTAGTTCACCATTCAGCAAACTCAAACGATTAAAAATGATACCTGCAGGCAGCCCATCATGCCATACATCTCTCTTGCTCTGTTCAGTGATTCTCAGAATATAATAGCATGTTGATAACAAACAGTTTGATGCCTGAAGCGTGACTATGATTCACTTCTCAGTTAATAAACATACATTTGAATGCAAATTTTAGATTAATTTCTAAGTTGTTTAGCATAGCCCGCCTAGACTAAAGACGCCATCTAGTATTTTACCATTTAAGTTTACCATAATCTTAGCTCTCCACTCCCCTTCCACCCCGCCCCCATTAGAAGCCCATGCTCTGCCAAGTGCATATCTACCAACAGAGGACCAGATGGGCCACATATATATATATATCAAAACCTAGTTCAGATGTTATCTTTAAACAGCATCACTCACAAAGACAATTAAGACACTTGTACAATATGTTCAAACAGCGACTTGTGGTTTTGACAAAATTTAAGTTGGTCCAACATGGAATTAGCTCCAGATTTAACATGTATAAAAGGTGTCCCAATCCCAAAATCAAGAAAAACTTACACCTTCTTGAACAGATAAGCTTTCCCATGCCTGGAGTGGAAAGACTGAATAGAAGAGCAGAGGCAAAACATGTAGTCAGAACAATTGCGTCCCATGAAAACTACAAACGACTTTTAGACAGAATGAAAAAAAATGACAGGAAAATGCAGCTCAAAATGCTGAGTTATCTTCAAGAAATATGTAAAGCATATCACTATCCAGACTTCATCTTGACATTTAAGAAAATATTGAAAACTGCTATACGTGATCTCACCTAAGGGCTTACCTACAGTCATATTATAATCCTTGAGACAACTTATAGACATGCAAATATACAGTGTTAGTGTACATGTGCAGAATGACGATATCCGAGTCCAAAGGTAGTGACACAATAATAACCTTGATGATACAGACCACATGAGCTACTTGATCGATCAAAGCATCCACAAATCAGTCACTTTTCATGGACAAGGATGCCCTCCCAAGTTTACATGCTACATGAGAACATCATTCATGAAACTTATAGGATGTTCCTTCTGCAAATGGCTTGGAGAGATAACCTCGCCATTTACTAAAAATGTTTTTAATACACATAATATGCCATCCAACCATGAAGTTGCCAAACTCCACACATTGCTGGTTACTCCATAGGAGTACGGTTTTAAACCAAGCAGAGAAATAGTTAGAACCATTTATAAACAAAATGGACATACCATTTCAGTTGTATGCCTTATAAATCTTGTCAATACTTAAGAGGATATAACATCTAAGTAGCTAGACGTTTAGTGAAGCTCAAATATCAGGAAGAGGGAAAAACACACTTTAAGCAACAAATTCAATCACAAGCCAGAGACAACAAAAAATCATTGAGAATGCCCGCAATATATAATCATCACAGAGTGCAAAACAAAAAGATATGCATATACCCACCACATTAAGAAATATTCAATGAGAAACCAAAAACAACTGTGAAACGAATTTTATTTGCCATAAATAGCTCACACAAAAGTGAAATTCTCTTAAAATCCAGATATGGCATCAAGTGCAGAAATCTATATGGCGCAATAAGTGAAGCATTACCAAGCTTCCAAAACAACGTATAGTCACAGCCTAACCGACTTAAGATCCTAAATACTACAGTTTGGTGCTTATTTAACAGTTCTAAAAATCGAAAGTTAAGGATTTCTCCACTTGCAGCGTCATCTACTCCTCATTTATCGAGTTGAGGCAAAAGGAGTTCACCGATTAAGCATCAGTTTGATCGAAATAATGCACTAATACTGCTTAATAATCTTTAAATTTTTTTAATACATTCCCGATGGATGGAAAGTTGGATGTCATTAAAATGACCAATCCAAAACCTCCTCGCTTAATCCAATCCATTCTTCACGTCTAACAAACAAACAATCAAACCCTCTTACGATAAGATGAATTAGGATCATCATAACTTCAACACAGGCGATCATCAAAGAAGCACCCATAGTTCTCACAAAAACAAGTCGAATTCATGAAAACCCAGATACAAATTCCATGAAATAATCACGAAACAGATAGAATTCAAGCGATGAAAGGTAAAGAAAGGAGCAACCTTTGAAACAATATCATCATAAAGAGCAAGATGAGTCCTGCAGTGCTTGCAACTATAGATCCTCCCTTCGAGACTCTCTACAAACAGCCTGCCCATGTCCTCACAAACAGATCTTTCAACAAAAATCTTCAGATTATAGCGTCCGTTGAGAGAATTCAAAATCTAGATTGAGAGTAGAAGGAGACTTTTTTTTCCTTAATAGAGAAAACAAAAGGAGACAGGATCGTTAATATTAATGTTTCGAGTTTGATAGATTGAATTGGCGACCTCTTTCAGTGATTGCTTCTAAATAGAGTTCTTATTGCATGCTATATAGGAAACGTAGACCGGTAGGAGAGGACAGGGGAAGCCATCCACCGTTATATTACCCTTTTCTTCTAAAAGTAGAAAGCTGACAAGACGTGTATTCTACGGTTCTCTTCCTTTTTTTAAAACAAATACTACGAATGCTTAATTATTTTATTTATTTATTTTCTTTTTATGATTCATTAACTACCGGTAAATATTAAATTGGAAAGAAATACTTGAATAAAACTCTAGCTAATTTATAGTTAAGTACATTTCCATTTCTTCTAATATGCTGCTGCAGCAGCAGCAGCAGCAGCGGATAATTTTAACAATACCCGATTAGACCTGACAATTTTCAATCATCAAATCAAGTTCACTAAGATCTGTACTCTATGATGTCAGTTGATTCACTATAGATTTTGAATTAATTTCCATAATAACACATTTTATATTCAATTAAATCAGTTTTTGCAGCACCTACTTCAATACCAATGCTTCTTCCTTTGCTGAAGTTAATACTCCAACTTTTACAATATATAATTATCCCATCATCATCCCTAACAATATGTATTGCTCTCGTTGCAGAGATGTCCTAGAAAAAAATACCGCATCAATGGTGGAGTTATTGTTGTAACGGAAGTGCTTCCCTAGCAACGGTAGAAATCTGTGGAGATTGAAAAATATTAATCAGGTGACTGGGATGTACTTTAAAAAGACTTCCACGTGGATAACGCTAATTTTGGTTAGAAACTTATTTTTCAAAAACATTTAAGAAAAATCTAGGGGAAATTCACTCATTTAATTTAAAGAGTGTTTTGAAAAGAAATGCATAAAGTAAAATTAGCATTGCTCTTTCAGAATACCAATAAAACTGAGAAAATTCCTAGAACGCTACTTGAATGGTAAATATGATTGATCCCCCGTTATCAAATATTAAGGAGGCGCTCAGCAATGTGCGGAACAAGAACAGAAATTAAAAGGGATTAAATTAAAAAAATTATTTTAAAAAGATTAAAATTTTAGTTATTTTTACTAAAATTATAAATAATTATAAGAAAAAGGTTGAGAAAAATATATTCTAATCTATGCAATTTAATCTAAAAATATATTTATTTAGAAAAAGAAGAAGGAGAAGAGAAATAAGAACTTTACGATGTGCAACTTACTCTGATTTTTTTAAACAAAAAGTAGGGTTTGTCTTTTGTGAAAGAGAGAATCCTTTTCTTCAAGGAGTGAGGATTCAGTAAGCATTCTTAATCTCTCGTTTTTCATTGATTTGTTTTCTTATAGACAAAATCTATTAAAATTAAAATAATATAAACTTGAAAAAAACTACAAAAAAAACTTAACAAGAACTAGCTTCCAACGAGTGGTATTTAAGATTGTTTGAATCGGAATAAAATATACAGCACACAATTCACTTAAAAAAACTTAATATAAACCTAGTTTGTAACGAGTAGTTAATTGTAACATACAAGGGGGGATGGATTTGATCAAGGAAGAGAAAATCACTTAATTAAATGCCGGCCTTTCACTTCATATATCAGGACAGTGCTAATTAGGCTTATCTCAATCAATTTTGTTTTTTATCTAGAACTAAAAAGAGCCTTTTCCAGGTGCTCGCCGCTAGGAAAGTTATTTAAAAAAAAAAAAATGGTTTGTGAGCCGAAATCTTGACTTGAGTTTTGAATACGACGAGACGGAAAATCACAAAATCCTGTTCTTCCTTTCCGCAGTTGAGATGGCCGTGCGGATAAAAACTGCTAGCCGCTAGGTAGTCCAGGCCAGGCCTATCTCAAAAAGCTAGCCCACCCCGGGCCCTTAAATGCGGTCTCGCTTGCCCAATTTGGACACAAACAAGTCCAACACTGGATTCGGTTGCCTGTACGATCTAAACTAAGCTGAACCTCCGAATCTGGGAGAACAAATAAACAAAATTCTTAACCCTTGTCATGAACAGAACAACTCATCATTTTAAGAGAGATCTCAGATGGTAAATGCAAATGGAATTTATAGTGAGACCAGCTCATGAAATCATACTCTCCCGTACCAGACTAAGCATTTCAAATATTCCATCAACCACAACAGAAAATGGTCAGCAGCGAGGTCTATTGATTTGTTGTGGCGTGCAGCAGCAGCGAAACGATGATTAGTAATTACCAGGCACTGACCATTGCAAAGGGTCGCCAAGTACGTAACAGTGTAACACGAAACATAAAACTTATCATAAACGATGAATTTGATGGTTTAAGTTTGACGAGAGGAAACAAAAATATTAGTTAATAAAATATACTAAAATTATATCTATTTAACTTAAATTTAATAATTTAAATATGAGAAATATATAATCAAACAAGAAAGTAGAAAACATGATAGCATCTAAATACATTATATATTTGATGATGTTATAAGATTCAAAATACTTTGGAATATGGTTTCTTACGATTGTATTATGGTTTAATTAGGTGTTTATTTAATTAAATTCACTTTTTATATAATGATATTTTAAAATTTAAAATGCTTAAAAATATAATTTTTCGGATTATGAGTTAATTAAGCACTCTTTCAATTAAATTCACTCTCCATGATAAGGGAGAATGATCTCTTGGTATCTTAAAAAAAAAAAAAAAGTCTTATTTGAGAGGATTTGAGAATTGTCATATATTTAAGATAGTATCTTGCATGTATTTTTGTCGTGTCTTGTCATGGAACAGCCGCGAGAGCCTCGAGAGCTACGGCACAGGAGCATCCAACAGTAACTACATTCCACGGATAAGTTTGAATTCTCTAAACCTCCGCAGCTCAAAAACCTCAGCGTATGGCTGATGATGGCGCATGGTTTAAAAATGAAACTCCCATGTTTATCCTAAGTGTGTTTTTTTCGAAAAATCCCATGTTTTTTTTAATCCCAGGCCCAGATGGCCAGACTCGGCCTGCTCAAATGCTCTCTCATCCTCCCATGTTTATCCTCTCCTTATCACTGGGGGTCCTACGAAAAGAGGACATGGCAACAGCAATCGTAGCATCATGGATGGGTGTAGCAACTAGCAAGGAGAGGGTCCCAATGGAAGTGTCCCTGTCCTTGTAATGGATTATTTGTTTTTGAAATTAAATTACAGCGAAGGTTTTATAGTTTTCGTTGTCATATGACGAGTGTGAACAAGAATTGATGGGCCTCTTCTAGTGGGTGATGCTGGATGGTTGAGAATCGTTGCTGGCTTCGACAACCTTACTCGAAGCTATTGGGATAAATTGCAATAAAAATTAAGGTGGCGTCCTCCCACACTGCGCGCAGTTTTATGAGGTGAACTTCATCGTTGTGCTCTTAATTCGATTTTGAATTCAAAAAAATCCGTTAAATATCCAACAAGCCTTTAAACCTAAAATATATATAAAGGAAAAAAAACATCAAATGTAAAGTTTATATATAGAGCCTTCCGTTGAGCATTGAATTTTTTTTAATAAATTAATAGTTGCAATCATCAATTCTTTAATTTTAGCTTATACCTAATTATGTAATATAAATATCAGTTTTCACAATCTGAGTATCTAATTGACACTAGATATATTTTTAAAAAAAGTCTAATCAAATAAGTTTTCAATTGCTATAATTAAAACAGATAAAAAAATATAAGGACAAAAGGTTAAGAGTACTAAGCGTGTTTTATGCAGTAGATTTTATGGTTGCAATTTTAAAAAATTAAATTTAGTTAAAACTGTTGTGAAATAATTTTTTTCATGTAAAATAAATGAAAAAATGTCTTTAAAAATAAAAAAAATATTATTTAAACTTTTATAAAATCAAAATTAAAGCATAATTTATATAGTTAACCAAACCCCCTCTCTGTTTCTCAACCTGTGTCTCCACCTTTCACCCTTTAAAAGACAACATTAATAATCAATGAGTTTATTATACTTTTCATAAGGTTAAGGGTATAAAGATTTCTTTAGAGAATTTAATTAAGCTTAAAAATATTGTATCTAAAAGAAGGTCAAGGAGAAGTTCTTATTGTGATAATACGACTTCTATATCCTATTAATGATTAACTATTGATGTTAAAATTTCTCATTGTTTAACTATTGATTTTAGATCAAAAGGGTTGTATCAATGATAAAAAAAAAGGAAGGAAAGAAATTAATGCAGACCATCACAACTACAAAATTTATTGCGAAATTAGAATCTCTATCATAGTTTTCCCCGTGAGAGGATGAGTGTATTAGCTTCTTCAGTGATTCGAAACTTCGAAGCTATCTCAATCCATCTTTCATTGAAGATTTCAGCTCTCTCTCTCTCTCTCTCTCTCTCTCTCTCTATATATATATATATAAAATGCAATCACAATAATCAAGGCCGCCTCCTCTTTTTAACCACAAGTCTTTTCTGGCTTGAATGGATTCTGTAATTGTAGAAGTTGATATACTGAGGGGCGAGCCAAGGAGGTTGAAGAGGCCGTGACCTAAGATTGGAAGATTGAAATAGCTCCTACTTTTTATATGCTCTTCATAGAAGTTCCTCGCTTTTTTATGTAACCATTCCTCAAAAAGTGAACAAGCTTGTACATTTTAGTTTTTTAATATCTATTTCTTTTTTTGTATGCATGGAGTTCTCATCAAAAGTATAAATACAAATGGAATCCAAAAAAAGAAGAATAAGTTCCCAGCTCATCATTATATATATTAATATAGCATTAATCAATGGGTGTATTTTAAAATGAAAGTGTCCGTGATCGGCCTGATGGGAAAACGGAAAAAGTTCTTCACTGCCTCAAATGGAAGCAGGCCACAAGGCCCATAACTCCCAAGGAGCATAAGACAAACAAATACCGGAGAGCTATTCTTACCTGATAGACACCACAAATAAATAAATAAACACAACCTGAAGTAGATTTTTGTTGTGATGAACAAACCTGAAAGTAGATTCTACTGTACAAAAACTCTGACTTGGAGACTAGACATCACCTTAACCAATCAAAACCCAACGAGCGAGCCACTTCGGATCCTCCCCTGGAACTGGATCATAGCCCGACAAAACATTTTAGTCATTTTCAAGTTCTGTCAGAAAGTTTCCACGTGTTCACTCATTGGTCCTCGGTACAAATATCTTCTTG